ATTTGATCCATCCTTTCTCAAGCTCTTATTACATTTACTATCCACACCATAAAGACTAGCCTTGAATCATTCTGTATATGTTCTCTGGGCCTGCCTCCCAAGATCACCAACTAGGCTGTGATCTCCATAAGAGCAAAGAACTGAATCCCCAACATAGGCTGAAACCAGCCTACAGTGGTTCTGGACTTATAGTGCCTTGCTTACTGGCCATTAAGAGCAAGACACTGCATATGGAAATAGTCTGTAATTCTCGGGTAAGATAGCAAATGCTCAATAGGGCTCTTATTGTTACCATATTCCACTGATTCTAAAACACACCTTTCTCCCACTCCCTGCATTTTAACATCTCCTCTGAAATCAGGATCAATGGCAAATCACAATTTAACTGACAGTTTTTTTTTTTCTTTCTCAGTGCCACATATAAGGAGATGAGGTGTTAATGGTTGATATGAGAAATGTGTTTCTGGAATGGACCTGCTGATAAAGTTTCTGGGAGAAATGAGGGGATTCTAGGAAAGATAATGGAAACTGGGTGAAGAGAGGATGCTGAGGGAGATGACAGATGCTGGGAGAAGTGGGGGATACTAGAACAGGATGGGAGGGTACCCTATTGAGCCCAGAAGCTTCCCGAATCACTCTGAGTTGATTCAGGTATTCCTTCTTTTCATGTTCCTATCCTCTGTGCATATGCTACTTCAGAGGCTGATTCCCAGAGGCAACCTCTGGGTCCCTCTCTGAAGTTGCAGGGTGCTCAGATTACCCCTCCAGCTTCAGATTCTTTGGGGCTTCATCTCATATGCTGGACCTCCCTTATCTTCACAGTCATATCCTAGCTGCATAAAGCTGCTGGGTGGAAGAATGTGTGGTCTTTTGCCTTCAGATTGCCCTTTAATGTTGAGTTAGCAGCAAGGGCTTTGGGGTGAGACATATTCAGATTTAATACTTGCTGTCCCATTTGCTAGCTGTGTGATTTTTGGCAGCTTGTAAAACTTTCTGAGCTTTGGTTTCTTCATCTTTAAAGTGAGGGTGAGAGAATTCCCTGGAGGGAATTGGAGGTCCAGTGGTTAGGACTCTGCACTCTCACTGTGGAGGGTGCAGGTTCAGTCCCTGGTCAGGGAAGTTAATCCTGCAAGTCGCAAGGCACAGCCAAAAAAAAAAAAAAGAGGGTGAGAATTTCTAACTCTGGTATTGATGCGCATGTGCAGTGGTGGAAAGGAGATTTAATGACATAAAGTGATTCACATTAGCTTTTATTATGCTGCTGCTGATCTTCATTGTCTTTTAGTCTTTTTATTCAAGCTGAGGTAGCCCTTTCAGCCCCTGAGGTAGCTTCTTCTCATGGACACTGCCTACATTATCAACCCAGATTTTATGGGCCCCAAACACCCCTGAAGCAGAGGGAGCACCGTCTCCCTGGCCATCTCCAGTGCCTGGCCAGTGCTGACTGGGAGCCCTGACTCTTTTTCCCTCTTTCTGTTAGTTTCCTGAGTACCCGGCTGTTGCCTGCTGATTACCAGAGCTCTAGTTTCATTAGAAAAATAAAGAAAAAGGCCGTGTAAGGTTATAGATAAAACCAACATAAGGAAAAAGAAGTGTAAGTGAGGCTCCTTTTCAATGAGATGTAAGCTTTGATAGTTTTTCAAGGAAACTACAAAAAGACCCAGAAATTCAGGATACAAAACAATCAGCACATTTAATGCATAGCTGAGCTGCATGGACGGCCCCTGGGTAAGACAGTAAAGGAAGCTGGGAGGGAGCATGGGCCTTCCCAAAGGGCCCTTCACTGGTCTGGATAACCCAAGGAAGCAGACTGGAATAGCCATAGAGACTAGGGCCAAAGTTTTTAGCCTACATGAAGCATGGAGGTAGAAATAAGAGCCCCACATACAGCTGAGACTCTCCAGGATTTAAACCTCTTTTAAGTGAAGTAAGGCCAGAAAAAATTCAACCGCTAAGGCAGAGGAGGAAGCTTTTCTAACCCGGACTGGGTCGGGTTGGAGAAGAGGAAGGCCTCCTCTTAGAAATGTATAATCACACATCTGCCCTCTTTTGGATTTGGGATTAAATTTACACTACTCATGTGATCCTAGAGTCTCGAGGCCAGGAAGTGATCATAAAAACTACTCCCGGCTGGAAAATTCATAGAGAAAGAAAGTAGAATGCTGGTGGCCAGGATGTGGCCTGTGCGGAGGAGGCGGGAGGAAAGGGAGCTGTTGAATGGATATAGAGCTTCTGTTTTGCAACATGAAGAGTCCTGGAGATTGTAGAACAACATGAAAATATTTAGCACTCTTGAACTGTATGCTAAATTTTATGTTATGTATATTTTACCACAATTAAAAAAACTGAAAAAAAAAGATTTAGAGGGATTTCCCTTAAGGATTTTATTATTGAGTGAGAAAAGTAAGAAATGGAGATGGGTGTTAATATGATCCCCTTTTGGCAAAGTGACTCCAAATAAAGCCAAACTTGACCCCAAACCCCACACTTGTATTTGCCTGTGTATTTCTGTATACAGGAGCATGAAGAAGGTAGTGAAGGCTTCCCATCAGGGTTGCTTGTGTAGGGCTGCAGATGAAGAAAGAAAAAGAAAAGAAAAAGGAAGATTTTGGTGCAACTGAAAATATCTACAATACCTAATCTTCACTCTGTCTGCTCTGATCCTGTTTATGAAAGAGGATATTTGATTGTGCGTGCTCACCTTCATGGGATAAAAATTCGGCTTGTTGCTTTCCGGTTTTGCCTTTTTTGGCATTGGGAAGGAAACCAATTTTTCGGGTTTTGTGATCTTATTTTATTTACACAAATAAGCAAATGCCCTTTCTATGTGTATACACACCCTCATGTATTGGCGTGAGCATGGAAAAGATGTGGAAAGACAGGTGTCGGCAACTGAGGCAAAGCCAGACACTTTTGTGACGGAAAGTCAGTGCACCTGACGGAAAGACAGGGCACGTGACGGAAAGGCGGGGAACATGAGGGAAAGCCAGGCACGTGACAGAAAGCTGGAACGTGAGGGAAAGCCAGTGCACCTGATGGAAAGGCAGGGCATGTGACGGAAAGGCAGGGAGCATGAGGGAAAGCCAGGGCACGTGACAGAAAGCCAGGAATGTGACAGAAAGCCAGTGTACCTGACGGAAAGACAGGGCACGTGACGGAAAGGTGGGGAACATGAGGGAAAGCCAGGCATGTGACAGAAAGCTGGAACGTGAGGGAAAGCCAGTGCACCTGATGGAAAGGCAGGGCAGGTGACGGAAAGGCAGGGAACATGAGGGAAAGCCGGGAACGTGACGGAAAGCCAGGGCACGTGACAGAAAGCCGGAACGTGACGGAAAGACAGGGCACGTGACAAAAAGCCAGGGACCGTGAAGTAATGGCAGGGAATGTGACACGAAGCCGGACACATGTGATGTGAACCCAGGGAACGTGACGGACAGCCTATGCACCTGACGCAAAGCCAGGGAACGTGACGTGAAGCTGGGCACGTGATGTAAATTCAGGGTACACGGGGAAAAGCCGAGCACCCGACATAAAGCTGGGCACCTGACGTCAAGTTGGACACATCACACGCCCCAGACGTTTCGTCGCTTCCGGTTTTGTAAGCTGAAGTCTAACACCAAGGTCACGCTCACTCGAAGGTTCGGGCTGGCTCCTGCCTTACCTCTGCCGAGGCTCGAGGCTGGCTTGGGTTTGAGGCGCGCTGAAGGAAAGGTGGGGGAGGGGAGTGGGGGCTGTGGCGGAACCTGAGGGTGCCCACAACTGTGCCATGGAGAGAGGGACCCGCCTGCCAGTCTGTGGGCCCCGTTTCTGGAAATAGACGTTTCTGGAAGATCTTGAAGAACCGCCCTTTCCTCGAGCAGTTTCTCGTCTGTTAGGCGGATTTTAAAGCCCCGCCCCTCCCAGCCTCTGTTAGGCGGATTTTAAAGCCCCGCCCCTCCCAGCCTCGGGTCCTCGGCGCCTCCTTCCCGCTTGGCCGCCTGCTCTGTGATCTGGCCTCCCCACCTGCTGGGCTTGCAGCTTTTTTCTTCGTGTGCCAATCCCCGGCATGGCACGTGGGAGAGGCTCGGGTCAGGAACGAATATAGAGCAGAATTTAACTCTGACCCCTCCAAGTTTCAGGTTCTTATACAGGGGGCATGGGCAAGAGTATGGGTCGTGGTGGAACCAGGAGGGTCCTGGGTCAGACTGATGTGTGTGATGAGGGCGGGGTGGGGAAGGTTGGCGACTGACTCCTCCTGGCCCCAGACCGCTCGGTTCCAAGTGGCTTGGGAACAGGGGACTGCCTCTGATTCTACCTTAGCTGCAATACTGATGCCTGTTAGAAAGAGACCAGGCCTCCCTTACGGGTCTCTCTGCCTTAATTAATTAACATGGTGATTGAATTCTCCTCATGGTAGGCACTGAGCTAGGAATTCAGTGGGGCTTATGTTCCAGAGGGGTGGGAGATTCAAAACTACTAGTGCATAGTTGTTTAATTACAGCTATGATAGCTATTATGAAACACAGGCCCCATTGCCCTTGGAAGGTGTAACAAAGCAAGTTTGATGATGAGCCAGAACAGAGCCTGTGCGCCAGGGACTGTGTTCCTGCCAATGGTCTTATTAGAGCAGGGCTTGAACCCAAACTCAACAAGTGTGAGGCCAAACCTTTGCGGGAAGTTGGGCGTTGTGTGACCAATACACTCCCCATAGCAGGGACCTCTGCAAACACCCCCATTTCCCTTCCACCACTCCTTCCCAACTCAGTTCAAACAGGAGTCTCTCAAGCTCCTGTTCTCAAGCACCCATCTCATTTTTCAGATGGGTGAAGTGAGGCCTATAGAAAGGAACTGATTTGCTCTATAGGTCCCAAATTAGTAAGGAGAAGCCAAAGCCAGGCTCCCTGGCACCATGCTCAGCCTGCCCGAGTCCCCACAGTCCATCCTCTGTGATGAGCCAAAAAATGAAAAACAAAGCTGCTCTGTTCACCCAGATTTCTGTTTTCTCCATTGTTCTCCACTAGGGACATTCCTGAATTGGTAAAGAAGGGACTAGCTCAGCCTCTCCTGGCAGTGGATCGGCTATGCTGTGCCTAACCAGAATTGAAAAGTCAGGAGACAGAGTTAGAAGAAGGTTGAGACTTTGAGGACCTCCCACCTGGCTCAGGACCCTGTGATCAGGTCAAAGGAAGAGGGGCACTGCAGGGGTGGGGTGTGCGTGTTGGGAGGTGGGGATGGAAGGAATACAGAGGGACAGCTCCCTTGGAAAGGGAGCAGCTGGAGCAAACTGGATCTTATGTAGGTCCAGGGCAGCATGTGAAAGTGTCTGGGAGGGTGTGGGTGAGGGGAAGGGGAAATGGGAGGAAAGAGAATTAGGCTGGCAGGGAGTGGGGGAAGGGCTTTATGCACAGGGAACAGCAAGTGCAAAGGCATTGAGGCCAACTATCATGTGAGGGAAGGGGTGGGCTCCAGGAATGAGATCCTGGTTCCATGGAGCAAAGAAAGGATCATGAGCATCTTGTCCTGTGAGAGGAGACATTTGTCTTTTCTCTGCCTTAGGCTGAGAAAAGCAGAGAACCCTCCTTTTTCTCCAAAAATGCACATGTCCACTTAGGTGCAATATTTTTTTAGTTGTTTTTGCTTTTTTAAATTGTGGTAAAACATATATAACATAGGACTTCCTTGGTGGCTCAGATGGTAAAGAACCTACCTGCAAGGCAGGAGACCCAGGTTTGACTCCTGAGTCAGGAAAGTAGAGAAGGAAATGGCTTCTTACTCCAGTATTCTTATCTGGAGAAATCACGGACAGAGGACACTGGTGGGCTATACAATCCATGGGGTCATAAAGAATCAGACATGACTGAGCAACTAATACACACACACACACACACACACACACACACACACAACATAAAACTTAACCATTTTTTAAAAGAGTGGTTTAATGTGGATCATTTTTAAAGTTTTTATTGAATTTGTCACAGTATTGCCTCTGTTGTTTATGTTCTGGTTTTTGGCATGTAGGATTTTAGTATCCCCCCTCCAAATCCTGAATTGGAAGTCAAAGTTTTAACTACTGGACTGCCAGGGCATCCCTAAAAACTACCATTTTAAACATTTTAAAGTGTGCAGCTCATCGATATTAAGCACATTTACAATGTTACATAACCATTATCACTATTTCCAGAACTTTTTCATTATCTCAAACAGAAACTCTGTGCACATTAAACAACTCTTCCTTTCTCCATCTCTCCATCCCCTGGTAACCTCTGTTATACTTTCTAGCTCTAGATTTTGCCTATTCTGGGTCCCTCAATATATATGCAGTTTTTAAAGAATGGTAAAATTGACATGCAATAAACTGCACAAAAGTGCACAACTTGCTAACTTTTGATTATGCACTTGTTGTTTGGCCACTGAGTTGTGTCCAACTCTTTGCAACCCCATGGACTGCAGTACGCCATGCCCCCCTGTCCTTCACTGTCTCCCAGAGTTTGCTCAAATTCGTGTTCATTGAGTCAGTGGTGGTATCTAACCATTTCATTCTCTGCCTCTCTCTTCCCCTTTTGCCTGCAGTCTTTCCCGGCATTAGGATCTTTTCTAGTGAGTTGGCTTTTTGCATCAGGTGGCCAAAGTATTGGAGCTTAAGATTCAGCATCAGTCCTTCCAATGAATATACAGGGTTGATTTCCTTTAGGACTGACTGGCTTGATCTCCTTGCAGTCCAAGGGTCTCTCGAGTCTTCTTGCTTACTTCAGCAGCACATATACTAAAATTGGAATAATGCAGAGAAGATTAGCATGGCCCCTGTGCAAGGATGATATGCAAATTCATGAAGTGATCCATATTAAAAAAAAAAAAAGTCTTCTTCAGCACCACAATTCAAAAGCATCAATTCTTTGGTGCTCAGCCTTCTTTATGGTCCAACTCCCACATCTGTACATGACTAATGGAAAAACCATAGCTTTGACTCTACAGACCTTTGTCAACAAAGTGATATCTATGCTTTTTAATATGCTGTCTAGGTTTGTCATAGCTTTCCTTCCAAGAAACAAGCGTCCTTTAATTTCATGGCTTCTGTCACTGTCCGCAGTGATTTTGGAGCCCAAGAAAATAAAATCTGTCACTGTTTCCACTTTTTCCTATTCAATTTGCCCTGAATTGATGGGACTGGATTCCATGATCTGAGTTATTTGAATGTTGAGTTTTAAGCCAGCTTTTTCACTCTCCTCTCTCACCCTCATCAAGAGGCCCTTTAGTTCCTCTTCACTTTCTGCCATTAGAGTGGTATCACCTGCATATCTGAGGTTGTTGATGTTTCTCCTGGCAATCTGTATTGCAGCTTATGATTCATCTAGCCTGGCATTTTGCATGATGTACTCTGCATATAAGTTAAATAAGCAGGGTGACAATATGTAGCCTTGACGTACTCCTTTCCTAGTTTTGAACAGTCAGTTGTTCCGTGTCTGGGTCTAACTGTTGCTTCTTGATCTGCATACAGGTTTCTCAGGAGACAGGTAGGGTGGTCTGGTATATTCTCATCTCTTTCAGAATTTTCCACAGTTTGTTGTGATCCACACAGTCAACGGCTTTAGCATAGTCAATGAAGCAGAAGTAGATGTTTTTCTGGAATCTCCTTACTTTCTCTGTGATCCAACTAATGTTGGCAATTTGATCTCTGGTTCCTGGTAGCTTGAAGGATTTTGAGCATAACCTTACTAGCTTGTGAAATGAGCGTATGGTAAGTTTGAGTATTTTTTGGCATTGCCCTTCTTTGGTATTGGTATGAAAACTGACCTTTTCCAGTCCTGTGGCCACTGCTGAGTTCTCCAAATTTGCTGGCATGTTGAGTGCATCACTTTCACAGCATCATCTTTCAGGATTTGAAATAGCTCAGCTGGAATTCCATCATCTCCACTAGCTTTGTTTGTAGTGATGCTTCCTAAGGCCCACTTGACTTCACACTCCAGGATGTCTGGCTCTAAGTGAGTGACCACACCATTCTGGCTATCCAGGTCATTAAGACTACTTTCGTGGAGCTCTTCTGTGTATTCTTGCCACCTCTTCTTAATCTCTTCTGCTTCTGTTAGGTCCTTACTGTTTCTGTCCTTTATCATGCCTATCTTTGCATGAAATGTTCCCTGATATCCCCACTTTTCTTAAAGAGATCTCTAGTCCTTTGCTTTCTACTGTTTTCCTCTATTTCTTTGCATTCTTCATTTAAGATGGCCTTCTTATCTCTCCTTGCTAGTCTCTGGATTTCTGCATTCAGTTGCATTTCCCTTTCTCCCTTGCTTTTCACTTCTCTTCTTTCCTCAGCTGTTTGTAAAGCCTCCTCAGACAACCATTTTGCCTTCTTGCATTTCTTTTTCTTTGAGATGGTTTTGGTCACTGCCTCCTGTACAGTGTTACAGACCTCCGTCCATAGTTCTTCAGGCACTCTGCCTACCAGATCTAATCCCTTGAATCTGTTTGTCACCTCCACAGTATAATCATCAGGGACTGGATTTGGGTCATACCTGAATGACCTAGGACTCCCCTGGTGGCTCAGACAGTAAAGAATTCACCTGCAGTGCAGGAGCCCATGTTCGATCCCTGGGTCAGAAAGATTTTCTGGTGAAGGGAATGGCAACCCACTCCAGTATTCTTGACTAGAGAATTACATGGACAAGGGAGCCTGGCAGGCTACAGTCCATAGGGTCACAAAGAGTCAGACATAACTGAGCAACTTACACTTTCACTGAACAGCCTAATGGTTTTCCCTACTTCTTGATTATTCATGCAGTAAGCCAAATAATGCCTATACCCGTCACTGCCTAAATTTCCTTGTGTCCTTTTAAATTCCTCTCTCCCCAGAAAACTACTGTCTGCTTTCCGTTCCTGTAGATTAGTTTGTATTTTCTTGAGTTTTAAGTACATGAAATGACACAGTTCATACTCTTTCTTCTGGGTGGTTTGGTTTCTTTCAGCATAATTGTTTTGAGATTCATTCTTTCATGCTGTTGGGTGCCTCAGTAATTCATTCTTCTCATAGCTGAGTAGTATTCCATTTTATGATCTACCATAATTGTTTATCTGTTCACCTGCTGATGGACTTTGAGATTGTTTCTAGCTGTTGGTGCTCATAAATAGAAATTCAGTGGCTTTTTGTACGTAGATTGTGTCCTGCAGGCTTCCCTGGTGGCTTAGCTGGTAAAGAATCCTCCTGCAATGCCGGAGACCTGGGTTCGATCCCTGGGTTGGGAAGATCCCCTAGAGGAGGGAACAGCTACCCATTCCAGTATTCTGGCCTGGAGAATCCCACGGACTGAATATTCATGGGGTCACAAAGAGTCGGACACGACTGAGCGAGTTTCACTTTACTTCACTTGTGTCCTGCAGCCTTGCTGAGCTCTTTTATTAGCTCATCTTGTTCCCAGTTTTAGGGACAGAGCATTCAGTCGTTCATCAGCCTCCTCAGACAACCATTTTGCCTTCTTGCATTTCTTTTTCTTTGAGATGGTTTTGGTCACTGCCTCCTGTACAGTGTTACAGACCTCCGTCCATACTTCTTCAGGCACTCTGCCTACCAGATCTAATCCCTTGAATCTGTTTGTCACCTCCACAGTATAATCATCAGGGACTGGATTTGGGTCATACCTGAATGACCTAGGACTCCCCTGGTGGCTCAGACAGTAAAGAATTCACCTGCAGTGCAGGAGCCCATGTTCGATCCCTGGGTCAGAAAGATTTTCTGGTGAAGGGAATGGCAACCCACTCCAGTATTCTTGACTAGAGAATTACATGGACAAGGGAGCCTGGCAGGCTACAGTCCATAGGGTCACAAAGAGTCAGACATAACTGAGCAACTTACACTTTCACTGAACAGCCTAATGGTTTTCCCTACTTCTTGATTATTCATGCAGTAAGCCAAATAATGCCTATACCCGTCACTGCCTAAATTTCCTTGTGTCCTTTTAAATTCCTCTCTCCCCAGAAAACTACTGTCTGCTTTCCGTTCCTGTAGATTAGTTTGTATTTTCTTGAGTTTTAAGTACATGAAATGACACAGTTCATACTCTTTCTTCTGGGTGGTTTGGTTTCTTTCAGCATAATTGTTTTGAGATTCATTCTTTCATGCTGTTGGGTGCCTCAGTAATTCATTCTTCTCATAGCTGAGTAGTATTCCATTTTATGATCTA